TATCCGTTATTTGGCTTACTAAAGACTAATTATAGATGTTCCACTAACAGCACTTTATCCATCTAAACAACAAGGAGTACGGTGGCATCTTAAAGACTAACAGATTTATTTGGGCATCTGAATAAGTGTTTTTTTTTTACCCACGAAATCTTATGCCCAAATAAATCTGTTAGTCTTTAAGGTGCCACCCGACTCCTTGTTGTTTTTGTGGATACAGACTAACACGGCTACCCCCGGATACTTTATCCATCTAGCGTCTCTCGCTCACAACAGTAAATGAAATCTATGCAAAGCCACTGCACTGGTTAGTTAAAACGATCGCACCACAATAATACCTAGCCATGTCCTATCAGCAGCTTTAAAAGCAGAACTCTTCAAAAGAGATGCGGAGGATCTGTGTCCAAATGGAAGCCAGGATCTGACCACTAGCGTGGGGGCAAAAAGAAGATACTGCTACATTAATATTCTATAATAACGATACATGAAAAACAACATTCATAATAATGAAATAATCGGACCCAGATTTTATCCGTATCTGGCATGACAATGCCGTTTAGCTGCTGCTTCTAGCCAGTTTTTCTTCTTCTAGAAGAAATAATCGAACGATGACATCCCCCTTTATTTCGATATTTTTGTAACGCCTTACTACGTCATTTTGTCTATAAGATCTAGATCGGTCCCCACAAAAATACTTCAAATTGCATGGGGGAAACCTAAGGCATTAAAAAAAGAAGAAGAAGATATTAAAATGCTATGTCTAGGTCTTCTACACATCACCCCTACTACAGTTTTAATAATTTATAATTTCAAAATGTGCCATCGTTATTCTGAACAATTTGTATAAATCTGCTTACAAAACATAGAGCTCAAACAAACCAGAAATAGGTGGAAATCAGATATACCACGTATTTTGCTGAGAGTCATAAACTCCTCCGCGTTAGGAGACAGATCCAAAACCTAGCCAAGTCAAAGGCGGCACTTTTCATTGGCTACAATGGGCTTTGGATCAGGTCCTTTAAATCCACAGAGGAAACTCTGGTAAACACTCACTTCACCTTCAGACTAAGCTCTAAACAAATGCAGCCTCGAGAAGGAAAGGGGCAGTTAATACAGCTTAGATATGTTGCAGATGCACATATTTGTGTGGGTGACAGAGAGAGACACAAACACAGTGACAGCCAGCGCAACTGTCCGGATCTATATTGTCCACGTTAACCCCCGGGGACCTGTAAGAGGCACAGACAACGCTGCTTCGTTTCCTTTTTTCCCTCCAGATTTGCATCCTGATTTTCCTACAGTCCACTCCTAGGAAGAGTCCATCTATGTACTTACAGTGGTTTCCTGAGTACCTAGGCCGCTTACAATATTTCACTGCCGACTCAATACATCTATGCTCCTGCCCGTAAAGAAATAGAGTTTTTTCAGACTCTCCTCTCATCCGTATTTGTTATAATATTTGTCCCCAGCTGTGCTAAAATACTGAGGGCTGCTATCTGCAACCACTGGAGTGAAAACTTACATTAGGTCAAAACTAAAACAAACAAAAATAGACTCTGCAACCTAAAAATCGATCTAAAGCCCCTGGAGCTCAAAAGGAAAGACTCCCACTGACATCAATAGGCGTTGGATCGGGCCCACTAAAGGTAAATCGAACACACTATGGCAAATGAAGACACTATGGTAAAGGCTGCACAGTGCCATGAAAACATTCAGACGTGCGTATGCACTAAATAATATTTCCTCTACGGATATTAGTTTTAATGGTCCCTTCCTCCCCCCCCCTGTCAAAAGTGAAAAGGCTCGAACAAAAATAAATGGGATGAACGCAGATGGTCTCACAATGCATTACGAAACGGGGGCCTGATTCTGCAGTCGCTTGCCAGGCTGAGCTCCCATTGACGGCAAAGGGAGCGCAGGATCAATCACCAAATCTACTATTTTATTTCCATTCCCAGCCCCATCAGCGATAGGCAGAACATCTGCGTTAGAAAGTTCACCCTAATAAGAGTGTCAGGAATTTACTGCCAAATAAGATTTGGTCATGGCGGAATTTGTAGCTCCCTAACGAAGGTGACTTGTGTGCATTTTACAAGATGAAAAGGCATTTTGGTGAAGGCCACTTTGAAAGAGAAAAAGCTGATGGCTGAAGGATGTAAATCTCATTTTGAGATCAAGGTCAGTGTCATTTTAAAGAGCTCAGAAGCATAGAATATTGGCTACAATTTGTTCCAACCCTTACAAGTATTCCCTAATACCTCCTTCATTGTTCCTGGGCAAATTGACACCAGTGAAGTTACACCAAAGGATATTTTGCCCCCCCTACCTTTTTTCTTCGTGTGTGTGTATGTGTTTTATCCCACCACAGAATATACTATATTCACTATGACTGCAAGGGCTTTCCTAGCCTGAGGCATCTTTTGGCCTAATTTGGGACTAAAAACGTGCAGGTGGTTGCTTAATCCTAAAAACATTTCATTGGCAAGGCTTCGCAGCCATTACTCTGACACAAACAAGAAAAGGGTAGGTATGCTTGGATATAAGCAGTAATCTATCAAATGAAGCATTCAAGGAGATACTATTCAGATACACAGGCCTGTGCTGATTGTATTAATCTTGATTTTCTCCACACACACAAGGAGCACCAAAACCACAGGAATTTACAGTTGCACATAAGCTGTGCGTGTGCCGTCTATATCGAGGCTTCTTTGGGCATTGAGGTTTGGATGCGTCAAGAATGCAAGGCTGGCCTCTTCCTGTGCATCTGATAACAGATCTCGGATGCAGGGGCGAACGTTATTTTGTAAGAGACATTGTTAATAATGCTAGACTGCCAGTCTTTGTTGACAGGGGGAACTACCTTCTGAACGCCTGACAGTGGAATGTTATCTAGGGGCTTATTTTAGGTGGAAGCAAAGTTTCTTGAAAATAAAGGGAAAGCTCTTTTTTTGTATTAAGAGCTGCATCTTTATCCCCCGCAGAGAGTCTGCAAAGGCCCACGGACAAAATGGAAGGGTATTACACAGAGAGGAAACTGCATCACTGAACTGATTTTAAGGAAGATTAGGAAGTCCTTGTAATCAGAATGTCTCTTTTGGACACTGTTGCATAAGTCAGAAATGCCATTCACACCAGTGCTACGTGTTAGCAAGCTGTGAGTAGGCTAAACAGAACTCAGGAGTTGGGAACTTCGGCATACCTCAGCCCCCTTATTTTGTTGCTGAAATTTCAGTCTGTGCTAGGCTTTCTTCCAGCTCGGGCCCCAATAATGTAGTTATGGGACATTGCTCCATAATTTGTCACACTCAAACCCTCACTAGTTTAACATTGCACAAATATAATAAAATAATAATTTCTACGTATGTTGTGTTGTGAAATGGTATCTAATTATATTCATCTCTTATAATTTAACCCTGACCTGTTTAGTATAAAGGATTATTACAGCATTTCTGCATGCAGTCAAACTTTCAGTCAGGGTTATTTTTTTTTCGTTCAAGAAAGGAGAGGATTTTGAAAACACCTCGCTTTTTAAAACAAACTGTAGGTTTTTAAATGAGGACAGTCACTAACACAAACACGCCAGGTTATTGATACTTTTCAGTCACTCTGATTTACCTATCTACATTATTCCTTTCGTGCTAAAGAGATCCCATTAAATTAGAAGGTGGGAGGGAGGGACTCCATTGCTACCGGTAGGAATAACAGATCTAATAAAACAATGACAAAACTAACCTCCTATATCTTCACTGCACTATGCATTCATGGTCCTTCGTTAATTAGAAATCGATGGGAAGTAACTTTATCCTGATCAAGAATTTCTTTGCTCAGTCTCCATTTAACTCGCAAGAATACATTGCATAACCAAGGAAGGTATCTGTCGCCAGCACGTATAGACAGACTTTAAAGCAAAGTCAAGGCCCAGAAACAGCTGCTAACATAACCACCAACATCGTAGAGTAAATACTATAGTGTCAGGTTCCGAGGACAAATAAAATTCGGATGCCTGGGGTTACAAAAAAGGATGCACTGCCACCTTGTAACATTTTGAGTAATGCAGCTGCCAAAGCAGATAATATTATTTGCATTACTGAATTGCTGTTTAGATGCTTTCTAAGTCACAACAAACAGCGGGCATGTAAAGAATGCACAGTATTTTAAAGAGGATATGCTTTCCAAGTACCTTCCAATAACAAAACAATTTTGACATGTCTCCGGCATAATTTAATAGCTTTTTGAATTGTTACATTTATCAGTTATGCAAGCAGTGTAGTTTTCCTTTAAGGGATTGTTACTCTTAGCAGAAGAGGAAAGAGTCAAACTGGGGTTCGAATTTGTTATCAGCTTAATCCAAAAAGCACAGCTGTTTATTCCTACATTACCACAGCTCCAAAAGAGGACACGAAATCCGTATTATCTACCTCTGCAAATATGATCGCAGAAGAGCAGTGAAATCAATGCAGTTGTTACTCTGTTCTGCTGGATATTTTGGAGCGGCTCAAAATGACTGGCTTTGTGAAAGCATAATACCCTTTAAGGCCGGATCTGGGAATCATTACTCAAACAAAACTCCCAACGAAGCTAAAGAACTTCAGGTGGAGTTTTGTCTGCGTTAGGAGTGCAGGATCAGACTCTGGATATAGGAAAGAGACTAAAGTTTAATATTTCTGCATGACAACAAAGAAAAGAAAGACTGTCTTCAGTATATTTTAAAAACAGAATTATTAAGTTTTGGCTGCTTAGAACATTTCAATTATTTAGACTTGGAATAAAAATATCAAGCGTGGGTAATCAGCATGTAAACTGTGTATACTCTACACACGTCTATCTAGATGGGTATTATACACAATGCTATCCCTGATTACATCATTTTTTTTGCATTTTATATTAGTCTGTTAAGAATCTCTGCAACTACTCAAGCCAATTAAAATAGTTTGCATTGAATCTCTCAATGGATTTGCATATCAGCAGTGGAGCACGCAGGACTGAAGGACAATAAAACAATATTAAAAGAAAGAAAAAAACATTTTATTGGAGACTTTACAATGCTAGAAAATACAATAAAAGTGCTAGTTTACTCTAGAAAAGTTGGTCCCAAAAATGGTACTATGCCTTAGTATCTATCAGCTTACATAAACATTTATAAAATCGCTATGAACTGGCCCCAATATTTATAAACATCTATGTTTTTCACATTAATCTATTTAAAGTCGGAGGACCAAAACTTTGTAAGAAAGATGCTGAGCAGTTAAACGCAGAACCTACCAAAGATTCCATTTGGGGCCAGGAGGTTTTTGGTCAAAAATATGAAGATAAAATTTAACTTTTATTTAATAATAATAATGCGCATGGAAAAAATCCCAATTATTATAGGAAACCGTCTTTTTTTCTTATAACTTCAAAATATTATTTTAGACCTGTATAAAATTACTCTTAAGACCTCACAGGACATTTTCTACTTTAATATACATATATCTATATCACTGCCGACATATTTCACAAGTTACTCTTGTTATTTTTTGTTTGTTTCAAATACCAACAGCATTGCTATGAAATGTAGGCATGCGTTCTGCTTTAAAAAACAGTTCCCAAGTAAGTACTATTTTGACAGAAGGACAGAACTTTGAAGAAGTGCAATTCTTTCCAGACTATAAAAGTCCCGTGATACACAGCGGATAGGCCTGTCCCAGCAACAAATCTACAATTAGCGGAGATCGAATTGGTGGTTTTTCTATTTCCCCCCAGTTTACTTTCCTCAATGTCCAAAAATAATAGTGCCAAATTACAAAATGGAGTATACGTTTGAGGACAAAACTGTGTATTTTGAATGGCATGCTTTAAAAAGAAAAGTCAGTCTCCCCCCTCCCCCGCCCCTTATAAGTCAGACAAACCGGCCATCGCTTGATAACCTTACACTCCAACAGGATCACACAGATCTCTCGCTGCAGCTAGAGGGTTTTTAAAGTTCAACACTTACACTGCCTTCAACCAACCGCGGAGCAGGGCTTACATTTTCCCGCTGTACCCATTTTTGGCACAGAGAGCACTTTAGACAAATCCGCCACTACAGAGGAGAAACAAGAGACAGACAGACAGGAGGGCGGGGGTCTCTAGATGTCTATCCGGGAGTGCAAGGCGCTGTGTTTGCTGTCGTGGTCCCAATAGGAACAGTGCATCATGGAGAGCTCGGCGGGCTGGCGGGCGCAGGCGAACTGGAGGCCGGCTCCGTTGGGGGCCGGGGCGGCAGGCGGCGCGGGGCTGGCGGGGCTGAGCTGCTGCGGGTGGTGGTGATGGTGGCTCATGCCGTTGTAGGAGTTCACCATGCCGGGCAGGGCCATGCCCTGCACCCGGGAGTAGGGGCCGTAGGAGGCCGGGGCCGACAGTCCTTTCACGTTGACGGGGCTGACGTTGCCGCCGGCCAGCTGGCAGGAGGCGTAGGACATTGGCGCGGGCGGCTGGGCCAGCGGCCACGAGTTGTTCATGAAGCCGGACTGCAGGTACTTGGGCGGGGAGAGGTAGCCGTAGCTGTCGCTGCTGAAGAGGGTCTTGCCCGGCTGGAAGTGGGTCGGGGGCGGCCTGAAGGGCCTCTTCATCCTCCGCCGCCGTCGGTAGTTGCCCTTCTCGAACATGTCCTCGCAGGCCGGGTCCAGTGTCCAGTAGTTGCCCTTGCGCTCGCCGCCCCCCTCGCGGGGCACCTTGATGAAGCACTCGTTGAGGCTCAGGTTGTGGCGGATGCTGTTCTGCCAGCCCTTCTTGTTCTTCTCGTAGAAGGGGAACTTGCTGATGATGTACTGGTAGATGCCGGACAGCGTGAGCCGCTTCTCGGCGCTCTCCCGGATGGCCATGGCGATCAGAGCTACGTAGGAGTAGGGGGGCTTCTGAGAGGGGTCCGGCTTCTCGGCCCCCTTCTCCGGACTCAGCTCGTCCTTGGCTCGCTCGGCCTCCTTGCTGGCGTTGGTGTCATGAGCCATCAGGGCTACGGGGTCCTCCTCGGGGTCCTGGTAGCTGGCCATCATGGCACCCAAGTCCACACTTCTTCCCAGGGGGAAAAGAACCAGCTTTCCTGCTTGCTGGGCTGCTTGAAGCCCAGTCCCACCGGCAGAGGCTCAGAGTCAGTCCCTTCTTGGTATTGATTTGGATCAAACTTGCGCCCAGAGCCAGCTGATACTCGGAGCCGCTTTCCCTTAGGAGCTGGGAAAGTTTCTCTCTTAGCCCTGCCTGTTTTTCAAGAGACAGCAACGCGTCTCTGGCTCCGGAGGCTCAGATTTCCAATGCACTCAAGGACTTGCTCTTTTCTGATTTGTAAGTTCCGCTTTCGTCAGGAACCCTTTCCCCTATAGCGGGGGAGCCAGCGAGGCACGGTCGAGTTCATTTCTAATTCGTAATTAAACCCCAGTGATTAGCCTATTAGCAAAAGGAGAGAAAGAGTGGGTATTAAACTGAAAAATCAAATGGCCACGTATATTTAAATTAAACGTTCTCGATCTATTAACATATTTCACATTTGATTTTTAAGAAATCTTCTCGCAACTTTCTCTGCTACAGTTTTGAATAATTGTCTCAGATGGAGATTTTGAGGAAGTCCTGATAGACAGAGATGATCTCTCAGTGAAAGGTGGATAAATTATTACCCAGATGTCCAGTTAAGTGAGGGGAAAATGCTAAGTACTATAGTAACATGAGGTTCTGAAGGCTACCATACTATCAGCAGTAAAAGGAAGCTACCAAATTTCATTGCAAACCTACCACGTTATTTGGGTTTGGCTGGCACAGGCATTCATTTTAGCACCAGGGAAGTGAGCTCAAACATGCCTACTGTGCAGTAAGCTGCAAACTTCCACTCCCAGCCTAGAAACCGAATCCACAGCCCTACACTGAAATCAATAGCTGTAAGTGGGAACTGATTGTGATACAGGGTACTCTTTCTCCATTCTCAGATGTCTATGTCTATATATACATTTGCATTTATACTCACTAGAGTCCTGGCACAGTGCCCAGATAACTGATTACAGTCGAAAAAAGTAAAAACAAACAAAATCCCAACCCACACCTGTTAAATCTGTTGCACAAGAAAACGGGGCTCGGTTCTCGCAGCCCTTCCACACACGAGTAAAAAACACGGAATTAAAAGAGTAAAGGCTGAAGGATCGGGTCCAGGACGGAGCAGGGCTTTCTTCACCCAGAGCATAAAAATGTGATCGAAAACAGACTGCGCTTGTTTACCTACAAACCCTAAAGGGCCCCGCAGATGAGCGAACAAAAGGAGGCTAGGAAGGGACTGGGGGGGAGATTATAGGGTGGAATCTTTTCTAGGAGAGATCCAGACTACACAGTTGAACTGTTTTCCCTCGGTTAACTGGAATTTTCTATGTGCCTTTGACATTTTTATCTCCCTTTTTTATCTTCAGGTAAAGCGACTCTGAGCAGCAAGAAGGAAGCGTGCACTGGCCACCCTGCAGAAGCGTCTCAAAGGTATTGCACAAAAAATAGTCGGTCACGAAGGCTGCTCCATTTGCAGTCGCACAAATGGGGAGGGGGATTACTTAAAACGTTATTTTGTGATGACTTGCAAGCAATTATTCGATTTGGTTCTAAGGAACAATGCACGAGGACTCGCCTGCTTATTTTCTAAATTCGAGGCTCCTTGTTGCTCCTTCGCTGCCATTTTAAATATTGAGCCGTCATTTATAATTACAGCTACCTGTGTTTACAAACTTCGGCTCTCCTGAACCAATCCTTGAAAACTAGGTTGTCCAAAGAGTGTGCGCATCAAAATGCGAAGATCTGGTTAAAAATAAGTCTCCTAGCATTTTTATGCACATATTTAATTCTTGCTATGAGCTTCCTTTTAACTTAGAAAACAGTGACCTTGCAGAACTTGCTCGGAAAAACTCTCGGTCTCTAGTGGGTTTTCCCGGAGTGCAGGATTAGTGAGCCCTATAGTTAACCATCTCGCAGCTTCCCCCAATTCCACAGGCTCAGGATGGTACGGAGCATCTTTCTTTATAACCGCAGCGTTAACTTTCTTGAACTGCAGACACAAAGGGGAATCACTGCAAAGCTCCGTTTCCCTCCAGCCGCCGCGGGTTTGCCGCATCATTTTTCGTAACCACATTTGTACCCCGGAGGATTGCAGTTCTTCAAGAGCATATATTCCTGCACGCGTCTAATGTGTAGCTCCTGATATAGTTTATAATTACATCTATAGATATGTTTATCTGCATCTCTAGATTTCTCTGTACTCACCTATAGACCGCCGTATATGTACACACACCCTTGTGTATGCTGCCATTCATAATATAGACACACGAATGCCAGTCTATATACAGATACATTTAAAAAACTCAGAACAACATTTCAATACAAGTATAAAACATTCAGTATATATACACAAATTATATTACACATTTTCAGGAAAATATATGATCTTTAAAAACTGTAATCCTGCTGAGTACAAATGTGGTTACGAAAAATAATGACACAAAATATTTACATAAATATAAATATATATACATATATGGGGAACGTATATCTTATGTGTGTATATTTTATATCTACATTATATACGCTTGGCTTTTCTTGAACGCCGATGTGTCGTTAATATAGAGAAATAACATTAGCGACTCATTTCCTAATTAATCGCCCACGTGCATCTTCCCAAGTAAACAAGCCAAGATTTTCCATTAGGTTAAAACACGAACATTCTTTGTATCCAAGGGAAAACGAAGCTGGGAGACAGCTGTGCGTCCGGAGCACTTAGGTTTGCTGCATGGGGATTCTGTGTTCACTCGTAGAGGTCTCTTACTCTCTGTGGTGTTTGGGCTATCTATTTCTTCTGACCACCCAAGCAGGCCTGCTTGCTCTTCCTCGCAGGCATTTCCGCAGCCAGAGCTGGTGCAGGTGTAACAGCATTGTTCTGTGTGTCATCACCTCCTCCAAATTGCAGATTCCTCCCCTTTCTGCTCTTAAACTGAGCGCACGGCTCTTTTAAAGGATTCACTCTGTGGAAGAGGAAACTTTGCTATCCTAGGTATTTCTTTTTTGACAGCCTCACCAAGTGGGATTTAAGATCAAATCGAGCGGTAGACTCCTAGTACAAAGGTAGGAAATGTGCAGCAGGTTTCAGTAGCAGAGAAGGTGAGTATATTGTGGTCTGCCCAGAACATTTGCCTGCACCCTGCTAATTAAATGTTGCTATTAAACCCAGGCACTAGGAGAGAACAGAAATGATTTCTTTGGTGCTGTTCACTCAAATCTCACCAGTGTCAATTAGAGCCTACTCGGAGACAAAAACATGGTAATAAATGAGTCGTTCAGCTTTTTTCCTGGTCATTTTAACGCTATAATTAACCGAGATCTAAAATATTAGAGGCTTTTACGGTGATTGCTAGGAATGTGTCCATTCTGACAACACAAGAGAAATGTAAGTAACACAGAGGCTTTCTACACCATTGACATTTAAACAGGGAGGTTCAGTATGGAGTTCTGCCTACGCGATCAATGTCATGTTGCAGCTCAGAGAGCACAGAACTTCAGTTTGAATATTCGTATGTCTGTTTCAGTGTCAACTGAATTAACGATGATCACGGATAGCCAGTTTCTTTACATTGTCACTTTCTAAGCCCTGTGTAATTGTAATAAACTCAGACAAAACAAATGAAGAAACACACAGAGCAATTTCCCTGGGCAAAGTTCAAGGTATACAGTAAATGGACGGGGGACGGGGGCGGACTGAAGGCAATTTATATACTGAAATATTTGCAAGGACCTGATTCCGCTCCCTTAGAGCGAGTGGCAAAACTTTCATAGACTTCAATGGAAGGATCTGGCCTCAGTTCCGTGTATCTTTAGATTATATTACTGACTATCAGATCTTCATTGTAAGGTGTAGAGCATTGGAACGATATTGATAAGAAATTCCCTCCTAGAATGAAGCCACAATTCAGGAAACGGTGAAAAGGGAAATCTCTTTTATTTAAATAACCCTGTCTCAGGAAATATTACTTACTCTCAGTCAGAAGGATTGACAGAGACTGATTTATTCTGGTGAGAAAAAGTGTTATATCATATTTGACCTGGATCAGGATATTAAGATCAAATCTGGTGTAAATTTAAAAAGAATCCGACACACGATGACAATCAAAGCAATTCGCAAGAATCGGTTTTTAAAAAGACTTTCTGGTTTTCTTGTAGAGTTTTTAAAATATTCTAACTGTTCGGAGCTGCTAAGAAGTCGCAAGCAAGGAATCGATTTAATTGATGGTTTATGCTAAACACAAGATTTAAACCCTTCAGCCTGCGAAATTACAATCCGCCGACAGGCAATGTAGCCAATCACAATGCGTCCATTTTAAATAAAAACGCTTTATTGTATAGTGGAAATTTGCACAGGCTGTGTCTCTGTCATTACAAGGAAATGCTTAAATACAGACAAATGTAGCGCAATTAATAATTGTGCCCTGAATTGGTTCTAAATATCTATTTTCTTTTCTCCTAATCTGGAACATAAACCACAAGACACTTGGAATGCCGAACAAGAGTGTACAAACTGCTGAGATTAACGCCAACCCCGCTTTTGATGGACAGCAACGGATTTAGTCTCTAAATAAAATGCACCATATTTAACTTGGAAACCAGTGCCGAAAAGCGGCTTGCAAGAAGGCAGATGGGCTGTCTATTACATTAAAATCGGGTACCGCTGTTTTTAATAGACAATCGAATATATCAAAGCGATTTTTGCTGAAGTCTTGCAGAACAGTTACTGCAGTTCACAAACATAAGGGAAAAAAGACAACACAACATTGCCATTGATTGTAATTAACATAGCGGTGAATGTAAGCAAAGAGCGAAGAGGTCACTTTAATACTAACATTTCAACCTGGATACTTTGTTGATCTGATGAATTATATTACCTCTGATGTTACGGAATCACAGCCTAAATACCAACAGAATGTATTATAATGATCACACACAGATGTGTACATACAATGTACGTATATGATGACTGACATATTCTTGGCGCCCTGCAACTACTGGTAAACATATAACACAAGATACCAGCATAGAATTTAATATTAAACCAATGCAGAATAAATTGAATAGTAACAATCAGCTAAACCAAGCTATGCTCTTCTTTATATACTCACCACTGTATACAGACAGAATGGATGTCTGTATGGAATTTTTTTTAAAGTGTCCAGTGAAAAACTGTAATTTAACTTTTTTTGGGTTCTTGTTAAGGAATCCCTCTCAATAGTCCACGTTACAATTACTCTGTCCCCATCAAGCCAGAACGAAATGAGCTGTGTGTAAGCAAAGAGAATGACTCCGCGAGAGCTGGAAAACTCTCTTATTGCTACCCGAACAGGGACAGGTTAAAAAGCCTGTTTGTTTA